GAAGTTACTCTATGTAAATATTCATCACAAAACTGATTAAGGTAGGGGAAAATGCAAAACTGTGCATTTGTTTTGAAATGGACAGCTTCTTCTAGTCAATTGGACAACTTGACACAACACCGTGTCATACATTAGCAAAATGTTAAGGTTAAACATGTAATTTTAGTAATTTTTATTTCATAAAAGGTAACTCAAAACGAAAAGACCATATATATTTTTGGAACAACAAAATGATTTCATTAGGAAGGAATAAAGATAACATCAAAAGCTAACAAAGAATAAAGCAAAACAGGTGGCTTGCATGAAGTTGGAGTTAAGATAGTAATTGCCTTTGCACATTCTAGCCCAAAAAGAGTTGGACTTGCTCCAACTTAAATATCAAATACAATACAATGTTACTTATTGTGGGTGTTGATTTCTGACCACACAACTAAACGAGGAACTTAGCTAGAGAGTACCAGCATAATAGATTACGCCCAAATGACCTGCAAAGAAGTTAGGACTCCGGCGGTGGTTCTTCCACCCGGGGACACTTCGATGATCAAGTCAGTAATCTCTTAAAGATAATAATCAACTATTCAACTTACTAATTTAAGCAAAAAAAGCATACCTTAAACCCACGGGGGTGCCTCATATTTATAATCATTAATGACCAACTCCCCTGGAAGCCTCTACTTCATGGGATTCAAGCTCATCGTGCTTATCTGGACTCCTAGCTAGATAGAGATAAACTCCATAAGAGTCTTATCTTTATCTATACTAGAGCCCTTTGTTATCTTGGACCCTTGTCCCTTGTCTGCTTATCTCGGATTCCGGTATTTCCGTCGATAACCTCGGCCTAGCCGAGATCACCTCGGCAGCGTGACCATGCCACGTGGCACCTCGGCTGACACGTCGGCATCACCTTTGGCCACGTGTTGTCATTAAATATATTGTAGATGTATTGCAGATATAATTAGCTTATCTTTATCTCTTTATTATCTCTATCTCCTTGTATCTCTATCTCTCTCTATCTCTATCTCCTTCTATACTTATCTAGGTTTGTGTCCAGCCTATACATATAGGCTCTTCTATTTTATTCAATACAATACATATTATATTTTCTCTTTATATTATTCTAACATGGTATCAGAGCTATAGGTTAAGCTCTTGGTGTTCTTCGCCTTATCGACAGGCGGCAGCCTTGCCTTAGCCGCCTGCTGGACCTCAACCTATTCCGCTGTCATATTTTCCTGTCAGTATCGCTTCGTGATAATCTCTTCCTTTGCCCGCTGGTTTATTCCTACCCCAAATATATCTATCATTTTTATTTTATTTTTTTTGTGCTTCTGCTCCATTCTATCTTTCCTTGCTTCAACCTCAAATAAGTTTCTATCTTCAAACATATTTGAGTTTAAGGGGGGTTATTATACCTATATCATGGTGAGCATGGTGATATACCATATGAACCACCTAAGTCGCCCTCTCTGGCACACAACCCAAGCCGCCCTCTTTGACACACAATCCAAGTCGCCCCTCTTGACGAACTTCCTAAGCCGCCTCCTTTTGACGCACTCTCCAAGCCGTCTCATTGGCGCACCACCTAAGAGGCCTCATTGGCGCACTCTCTAAGCCGCCTCCTTTTGACGCACTCTCCAAGCCATCTCATTGGCGCACCACCAAAGCCATCTCTTGGCGCACCATCCAAGCTGTCCCCTGGCGCACTCAGTCTTCTGTTGTCATCATCGTTCAACACCACATCATAAGTTATGTGTGTGTCACGCTTGCTGGTTCAACGTCAAATTCTCTACATCGGTCCAGCATGACCCCTTTAAATTGTTCCGACATTGATTCCGATTAGCTCCTCCAACAGTCTAGCATAACCTTAAACTGTCTTGACATTAGTTTTGGTCAATTTCTACAACGGTCCAACACGACCATAAATTGTCTCTCGGCATAGGCTCCGACCTCTGATATATCTCAAGCACTCTTGCGCTCTCGTTCAAATCTATTTGCCTTTTATTTTATTTAGTTTTATTTTATGTTTTAGTTTCTCTCTCCAAACTCAAGTTGCACCTGATCAACCTGCTGGTCGTTTCATTGATCTATTTTCCAAACTCAAGTTGGTTGATGCTTACCTACCTTGAGTTTGAGGGGAGCTGTTAAAGTATATATTAGATTTATATTTATCTAAATGTATAAAAACCACATGACGAGATACCCGAAGACGTTTAGAAATAGGATCCCAACAGCGATAGCCTTTATGTTCAATCACATACCCAAGAAAGCAACAAAGACGAGAACGAGGTTCAAGCTTGGTATGTTCATGTGATTGAAGTAGGACAAAACATGCAGACCCAAAAACCCGAAGATGTGTGTATGGAGGGTGAGTGCCATACAGACGTTCAAAAAGAGTATGATTATTGATAACAGGGGTAGGAACACAATTAATAGTGTAAACAGCAGTAAGTGCAGCTTCCCCCCAAAAGTTTTCAGGACAGGAAGAAGAGAGAAGGAGAGCTCGAGTAGTGTCAAGAATGTGCCTATATTTCTATTCAGCACGTCCATTTTGTTGAGAAATGCCAGCACAGGAACGATGAGACTAAGTACCATGACTCTGAAGAAAAGAAAGGAAATCTGTATCACGGTATTCCATAGCATTGTTAGAGCGAAAAATTTTAATGGTCTTCGAAAATTGGGTGTGTACCATTTTGGCAAAGTTATAATAAATTTGTTTAAGTTCAGACCGATGTTTCATGAAAAATAGCCTAGTAAATCGAGAAAAATCATCAACAAAAATAACAAAATAACGAGAGCCCCCCATGGTAAGAGTAGGGGATGGGCCCCAAATATCAGAATGTATGAGATCAAAAGGTGCATGAGAAATAGTAGTACTTTTATTAAATGATAAAGCAAGTTGTTTTGCAAGTTGACAAGGTAAACAATCAAAATTATCGGGAAGTACATGACCCAATTGACCACCGATTAACAGAAATATATGCCCTAGGCGACAATGCCAAAGATGAAAAGGAGACAAAGAGGAATCAGAAACAAAAGCAGCTAATGGTAGGGAGGAGTCTGGAACATGAAGGTGAATGAGTTCATAGAGACGGCCATGCTTACGGCCGATCCCAAGAGTCTGTCCCGTCTAAGGGTCCTGCACCAAACAACCATTAGCAGAAAATGTGGCAATTAAGCCAAGCTCACATAATTGACTAATAGAAATAAGGTTTAAGGTTAGAGAATGGATATGATAAACATGAGGTAAAGACAAATGAGAGGTGGAAACAAAACCAACATGACTAACAGACATGAGAGAACCATCAGTAGTATGAATAGAGGGAATATGGATCGATGGGGAGATGGAAGAGAATATAGTAGAACTGGAAATCATATGGTTACAACAAGCAGAATCAAAATATCAAGAAGATGTGCTTGGAGTCACAGACAAAGCAGGAGGATGAGGTGTACCAGAGATAGAGAGAAATTGTTTGAACATGACCTTGACATCAGTTTGGAAAAAGATAGGGGCAGATGGATTAGGAGACTTAGAGAAATCCTCAGAGGCAGCAGTAACAGTGCGATGAGCAGGCAAAGATCTAGACTGATTCCCGAGATGATGTGAGCTTCCCTGGGCAGAGCCACTGCGAGAGGAATGACCAGTGGAAGATGACCTGGAAGGATTGCGAAAACAATCCTGCTGTAGATGACCAGGACCAAGTTTGTTGCAGTATCGGCATGATTTGACAAGGCAATGGACCAGACAGTGAGTAGAAGGAAGGCCCTGATTCTGACAATAAATGCATGCAGTGGACCGCTGGGTCGGTTAAAAAGATGAGGCATCATGGCGATCCATAATAATAATGTGGTAAGGCCAAATAAATATCAACAGAACTGTAAAAGCAAAATTTGATAAAACAGAGTGTGCCAATGAGTTCGGAACGTCGAAAATAGCCAGAAAAGAGGTCTGTTGTGTAGAGATGACATCAGTAGAAGGCTAAATGATGTCAGCGGCGCACAATAGCATAGGGAGGGGCGGCGCACAATAGCAGAAAGGGCGTGTGGCGCAGAATAGCAAGATGGCACACACGCGGCGCACAGAAGCACAACAGTGTACGCGAGCGCATGATAGCGGAACGGAGCAGGCGTAACGCACAGCAGCGTAGGGCTGACGTCAGAAGATGACGTGAGCAAACAACAGAAGGGCGCGTGGGGCGCGTAGAAGAGTGGCGGCGGAAGCTGAGACGCACCGAACATAGAAGAGGCGCATGAGGGCACGTGAAGGTGTTTTTGGTGATGTGGCTGGTTCCGTTAGACTCGTGAGAATATTTCGAGCAGTTTGGTGGCAGGAACAACCGTTGGAATCGTGATGAGACTCCGAGCAATTTTTGTAGTGATGTAGTGCCACTGTGTACAGGACTAAGCACGAAGAGAAAAGGACAAGGCCATAAGTGTAGAACCTATAGCTCTAATACCATGTTAGGATAGTGTAGAGAGAGCAAATATAATATGTATTGCATTGAATGAATTGTATTGAATAAAATAGAAGAGCCTGTATTTATAGGCTGAACACAAACCTAGACAAGTACAGAAGGAGATAGAGATAGAGAGAGATAGAGGTACAAGAAGATAGAGATAATAAAGAGAGAGAGATAAGCTAATTATATCTACAATACATTTAGATAAATATAAATCTAATATATACTTTAACATATAAATCTAATATATACTTTAACAGCCCCCCTCAAACTCAAGGTGGGTAAGCATCAACCAGCTTGAATTTGGAAACTAGATCACTAAAACGACAAGGAGTATGAGCCTTGGTGAAAATATCAACAGGCTGATCGGCAGAAGCAATGGAAAGAAGATGAACAGTGCCACGTGTAACATGCTGTCAAATGAAATGACAATCAATCTCAATATGCTTGGTGTGACCATGGAAAACATCATTATGAGCAATTTGAATGGCACTCTGATTGTCACAATAGAGAGAGGTAGCGCCAGAAGAGGAAACAACCATATTAGCAAGGAGCCAGCGAACCACAGAAGTTCCTAAGTAGTATCAGCAAGAGCTCGGTATTCAGCTTCTGTACTAGAGCGAGCAGTGAGAGATTGCTTCTTGCTGCACCAAGTAAGAAGAGAATCCCTAAAAAGAAACAAAAACCTGTGGTGGAGCGTCGATCAGTAGAATTCCCAGCCCAATCAGCATTGGAAAAGGCACGCAGCTTAAGAGAAGAGGAAGCAAAGTAGTGAAGTCCATGGAATAGAGTACCTTTGAGGTAGCAAAGTATGCGGAGGAGAGCAGCATAATGTGGAGTGCGAGGAGCTGACATGTACTGACTAACAAGATGGACAGCATATGCAAGGTCAGGACGAGTCACAGTGAGATAGACGAGACTACCTACGAACTGGTGATAAAGGATAGCATCAGAGAGAAGGTCCCCATCTAGAGAAGTGAGACGAGTCTGAGGATCAACTGGAGTAGAGGTAGTTTTGCAACCGGTAAGACCAACATGTGCCAGAAGATAGGATGCATATTTGGCCTGTAACAAATAGTAGCCAGTAGAATCATAAGAGATTTCAAGCCCTAAGAGGTAATTAAGGGTACCAAGGTCCTTCATCTCAAACTGACGATTGAGGTATTGTTTGAGGCTAAGAATACCAGCCGCATCATCCCCAGTGATAATCATATCATCCACATAAAGAAGAAGAAAAGTGGTACCATGAATAGTAGTCCGAACAAATGGAGCAGAGTCATAAGAGCTAGAGATGAAACCGAAGTCATGAGCGGTGGAACTGAACTTAGCAAACCAAGCTCGTGGGGCTTGCTTAAGACCAGAGAGAGCACGCTAGAGTTTACAAACCTTATGAGCTGGATAAGTAGACCCAGGGAGAGGTTACATGTAGACCTCCTCAAGAAGATCACCATTAAGAAATGCATTTTTGACATCCACCTGAAAAAGATCCCAGTGGCGAGCGGCAGCAACAGCCAGTAAACTGCAAACAGAGATAAGTCGAGCAACAGGTGCGCATGTCTCCCCATAATCAATGCCATATTCCTGGTTGAAACCCTTGGCAACAAGACGAGCTTTGTAGCGCTCAATAGAGCCATTAGAATGGGTCTTGATGTTGTATACCCATTTCTCTTTGGGGCCTCGTACGCTTCCAGCTCCATCAAGAACGGCATCCTTAGTTTTACGGTGGATGTTACCTCGGCGTTCTTGCGTTTCCTTTGGAGGTAATCCTCCTTCTCTCGTCCAGGGGCTCGGCTATCAATGGACTTTAATCTCTTCGGGACACAACTTCCCGTGTCGTTGTCTACCCTATTGGATTTTCTTTCATTGGTCTCGTCAAAGCACAGTTCCTTCCCCTGGATGTGCCGATGTTCTTTGACATGTGTCTCCTTCGTTCGTGCCGTCCTCTGCGACTGCCTTTGCACGGATACCGTACGGCCGACGTCTCTTGATGGCCGATGCGAATGGTCTTTTTCCCTTCCATGTCGTGGTGCAGCTAGGACTGATTTCTGCCCCCCTCTCTAGACATCATCTCCTCTAGCAGAAGCCGGAGTGTCGTTCAGAGGATATGGTGACTGCATCACGCTGTTTGCCATCAGGAAGTGGACCATGGATTGAAGGTCGGCCAACTTCTTGCTCATCTCTTTTACTTTGCTGTCCCTCCTCAAGCATCTGTCTTTCTATACTTGGAGGCTGCTTTCATTGTAGTATTCTCCTCGGTTGGTCTTTTTTACACCATTTCCCTCCTTGCTGACGTCCTTCTCGCCCAGATTCGGGTCCTGGGTTTCTTCGTTGTTAGGCTCTTTCCCACCACTGGGTTTTATATACTCATAGGTCTCACTGGCAATATCGTCCCTGACCTTTTCTCCTGCTGCGTTGTTGGCCATCTATTCTCCTTAAGTTTCCACAGACGGCGCCAAATTGTGGGTGTTGATTTCTGACCACACAACCAAATGGGGAACTTAGCTGGAGAGCACCGGCAGAATAGATTAAGCCCGAATGACCTGCAAAGAAGTTAGAACTCTAGCAGTGGTTCTTCCACCCGAGGGCACTCCGACAATCAAGTCAGTAATCTCTTAAAGATAATAATCAACTATTCAACTCACTAATTTGAGCATAAAAAGCATACCTTAGACCCACGGGGGTGCCTCATATTTATAATCATTAGTGACCAACTCCCCTAGAAGTCTCTACTTCATGGGATTCAAGCTCATCATGCTTATCTGGACTCCTAGCTAGATAAAGATAAACTCCCTAAGAGTTTTATCTTTATCTATACTAGAACCCTTAGTTATCTTGGACTCTTGTCCCCTGTCCGCTTATCTTGGATTCCAGTATTTCCGCAGATAACCTCAGCCTAGCCGAGATCACCTCGGCAGCGTGACCATGCCACGTGGCACCTCGGCTGACACGTCAGCATCACCTTTGGCCGCAACTTTTACCTCAGATGGACAGCGGCCCTGGACAAGCTCTCAATACCCAATGACTCCCCTCTGTGGGACATTTCAAAGTTTCAAGTTCTATTCCCTCCAACTCCCTAGGCATCCGAAGATCAAGTCGAGGATGACAAGTCCGAGGCCGATGAGGATGTGGCAGCTCCTGGGACCAAACCCTTAGCTCTACCTAAGCAAGTCCTTAACTTGACTCAGGATGAGGACGAGGTACCCAGGACTGCTTCGCCGAAGAAGATCGCCAATGAAACTAAGGTTAAGGCGGAGAGGAGTGTTGAGCAAACTCTTCGAGAAATCGACGCCGAGGTTGAAGCACAACTGACTGCCGAAGCTGAAGCACTGTCAACTGCCAGAGCAGATCAGCCCGAAGTTGCTGCCCCAGAACTAGATGCTTAGTTTTTTCATTTTGTACTTTGTTTCTGAACAATGTTTGTTTTGGTCGATGCGCCACCTTTTGTACTTTGAACGAGTAATCTTTTTTGCTAGGCCGAAGTGCCTCTTTATTTTAATGAACAAGGCTTCTCTTAATGTATGTTCTTCTTTTTTCTTCCAAGTGTTGGTTGCCTCCTTCATGTTTGCTTACTACTTGTGTGTTTTTCCATACTTAGAATATTTTTCTACTTCTTTCAAGTATAATCTTCAAATTACTTTGGGGTAAAAATCTCGGATCGAAATAACCTCGGTAAATCATTTCGGCTACTTTAACTTGTAAATTGTTCTGAAATTTCAACAAGTATAAATAATCTCGGCTTGTAAATTGTTTTGAAATTTTAATAAGTGTTAAAGCCTTTGTAATCTTGGCTAACTGAACTTGTAAATGCTTTAAAATTTCAACAAGTGTTAGACTTTCTTGCTTCTAAAATTTTTCTAAGCTGCTAAAACCTTCGTAATGTCGGCTAACTCAACTTGTAAATTGCTCTAAAATTTCAACAAGTATTAACCTTCCTTGCTCTTTAATTATCATTCCTTCTGGCCAGGTTTGTGACGAACAAACTGCAGCCATTGAGGGTGGACGCATTGATGGCTCTGAAGATCAG